GCCCAATTTTATTTCGTCGATAAATGTACGGTTGCAAAGATTATTATTTTATTGCTTCAAATTTGAATGTTATATACATTTTTAACAACAAATATTGTTGTTATTAAATGATTGTTACTAAATGATAGAATTCACTAAAAGTATATAAATATGACTACCCGACACATTTTGAAAAGAGCTGAAAAACATGTTTTTTTAAATTTCTATTTTTTTAAGTTAAACTATTGTTTTTTTGATTTATTCTTTTTCTTTAATTAGATGATAAAACAATAGAAACATACAAAAATATTGATTAATACTCAATATTATACAGAAATATAAGCAATACTCCTTAAGTGGGCGGGGCCACTCGACTCTCCCCTATAGCTCAAACAAGAGCACAGTTCTCTTAATATATTGTTTACAGGGGAGACGTGATGAAGATCGTCCTCCAATGAAAGTGAACGGTTTCGAATCCCGAATTCCGGCTTGCATCGGTGCTGACATAAAATATCCTCAGAGGTAGACGTCAGGATAACCGTTTTCGTGGTTTTCCACGCCATGTAAAGCAAATGCTGGTTAATTCCATCAAAAAGTCGAAGGGATGCTTGATCCAGGAGTTCCCTTGCCTTCTGGATTGGGTTCAAAATGACATGAGTAGTCGTAAGCTGAGAAAACTGTTCAGCGACGGTCAAATCCATTACTCTTCTAGACATACGTTTGTTCCATCTAATTGATTATAAGAAAGTATTTTTGATATTAGAATTAAGGCAAGCGTCTTTATTACATAAAAAAAAGGCAGAAATTAATACTTTGATTTTTTTTTTAACGTTGAATAACTTTATTTATTAGTGTTAAATTAAAACTTGGAAAAAAAGTTTTTTTTTCCACATGGAATGATTTTGTTATGAGTACATTTTAATAATAATGTATGAATAAATGTCTTCTTTCACAGGGGAGGAGGATGGTGGAGGGCTGAAAAATGCCTCACCCCACCCTCGATGGAGCTCCCTCAACCTGCCCTCTAGGTCATTTATCCACGGTAAGTGTTGCTTTTTTTTTACATCAATATATTCACAGGAACAGAGGGGGGGCGGCCCCTCTTTTAAATTTTGAGTATCTCCTGAAATTACAATTTTTCACCCCAATATTTGTGTAATAAAATAAAAAATATGTATATATTATTTTATTGTGTCTAAATTTAAAAAAAGATTTCCTTGGTGAAAACTACTACCCAATCATCCCTCCCCTTAAGATAAAAATATACGTCACCATCACTGACCGATGGGAAGATTATTGGTTTTAAACGTGACAGCAAACAAAATATTATATTACAACGTTCATTGCGATAGGAATTATTTACAGATAAACAATTTTTTTGTTATAATTTAAAACAATTATGACAAAATTCAAATAAATTCTTGATTAGGTACCCTGTGAATACCCTGCGAATATCCCTCACTCAATAGATGGGGCTCATCAACGATCAATGGGAGTTGCTTGCATTCTATTTCGGGTAAGCCTCTCTTAAGTATAACACAGCCTCACAATTCTATTTGCACAGGCCATGTAAACCCATCGTATGGTGCACAAAAATGTACAATGTTCACAAATAATTACACATTCCATGACTGAATGAACTTTTGAGGTCGTGGGTTGTCTTCTTCTTGGAGACCAAATTTCGAACAGTACATACATTTGTAACCATTTATTTATTGATTATTGTTGTTAATAACTGTTATTTCTAATAACTGTTCTTGTTAATAACTGTTATTTTTTTATGAATGAGAAAGTAAACGAAATTGTGAAGAGTTGTTCGATCAAAAATAAAATGGTTCGAGACAGCAAATATGCTGAATAATATTTTACATGACAAAATCAGTCAATATGTATTATTAATATTCGTGGTCCTCTTTCGCCAGTAATGTATTACTATCGTTATTGTTGTAGTAGGCCATTAAGGAAAAGGGGTGACATTGTTCTTGTTTTCCAGTGGCGCCATCTATGCCCAAGAACTCGACTTCGATCACATCCGTTTATAGTGCGGACCCATTTATACATCCATTCACTCAAATACATACCGAAATTTTGACCTGAACCAGAGAACGATCCATCTCCATTTCAGTACCTTCAGAGATATTGATTTGTTATCTGAACATGAAATATTTTGTGACCCAACAGATTTAACGGGCACCAGTCACCATTTACTACACGAGAGATTTCAGCCGGCTAGATTCCAACTCCCGGACTCTCACGAACTTAAGTCCAGCGCCCTGCCAACCAGGCTATCCCGGCCTACCAGCCGCTACGGATTAAGCGTACGCAGGGCCCTAGACCATTAAAATTTTTGGGGCCCTTAGATTAATTTTTTTTTCTTGCCCATTTTTCATTTATTCAAATACAAAAGTGTAGATACAGAGCTTTTCATTTAAGAAAGCATATTTAAAATTAAAATAAATAATAATAAATTAAATTTTACTTTAATTTGTTAAATAAAGTAAAGTAAATCTATATATATAAAAATGAATGTGTGTTTGTCTGTCTGTTTGTCCTTTATAGACTCTTAAACCTTCCGACAGAAAGCTATGAAACTTGGCTTACAGATAGTTCAAAGCACGAGGAAGGTTTCTGTCGACATTAGAACATTCAGCGAAAAACCGTTCCAGTGGTATCAGCGAAAACCAAAATGGAATTTTCTGATTGGTTAAAAGTTAGCCATTGTTTTAAATTTTGCTATAAACGAACCAGTTTTCAAATATCTTGAAGATAACAACAGTGATATTTTCTTTCTTATAGCTCTATTCTTTTAGAAAAGTAAATTACATATACTTTAATATTTAATTATAACTCGGTTCTTTATGTCAGGTGAGCGCAAGCACGTAAAATCAACGAGAATATAGTTTTTGAAGGTTTTATTGCTGCCAGTTGTCATTTGAAAACTATTAGATTGTTTATTATCACAAAGTTTTCGAATTCACATTCATTTTATTTCTTTCATTTAAAAAATAGATTTTTGTTTTAAATTCTAATTTAATTTATTTCATTGTTATTGCTTTTTTAATTATTTAAAATAAATATGGGAATTTTCGATTTAGCATATTTGCGACACTGTCAACTTTTACATTTCTTTTTGTTTGAGAGAGAATATTTGCAACAATATGCCCCCTAAACGAATCGCTCCTAGTAGCTCGACATCTCAAGCACGCAAAAAGAGAACTGTCCGTGTTTCAGAAACATCGAAGCAACGGGAAAAAAGACTTGAAACTAATCGAGAACACCATGCTTTAGCCCGTTCCTTAGAAACGACTGAGCCACAGGAAAGAAGACTGTTAACAAATCAACTACGCACTACTGAAGCCCGTTAGTCGGAAACTTCTGAGCTATGGGAATGAAAATCAATCAAGAACAAAATTCGCTATTCAGACGCTGCCAATACTCTGTGTGGTGACCTGCCTACTACAACTCAACGCTGCCAGTCTCGTATCCCATAGCAACGAGGAACACAAATAAAAGAATACTAATGTTTTCTTTCTGCTGCTTGATAATTCTCCTGTTTTTAATATGTACGTAATTGTTATTATTCAAAGTTGTTAATATATTATATTTTATAATAAGAAGCGAGTCTACTTATTTCCTCCACAAACTGGTGACCTCGGATTTATTACGAATCACAACCTGCAATGTTGCACGAATATGGAGTTTATATGCAAAAGCCTGAGCAACCATAAGTTGTCAAGAGTGATGAAATTCAAGTAAGACATTTTACCTTTGATTTAAAGTGTTTTGCCACTTTCTGGTAAGTCAACATATTTATGTCAGAATTTTATCGGATCTATGTATGGTGTGTAGAATTTGAATCGCCAATTTCTCTGATTTAAAGTACCAAGAAGCTGCGTCGCTATATACGTATATTGATTATTTTTCTGTGTTATTGAGTATATTTGACTGATCTAAAATGGTTGACAACAATGATTCTTCACAATTGGCGCGAGTTTCAGTTAAGCCTCCGCCATTTTGTCGCCAAGACCCATCGCTATGGTTCATTCAACTGGATGCGCAGTTTAAATTGAGTCACATTACTGCTGACGAAACTCAATTTTATACAGCGATCTCCGCTTTAGAATCAGAAGTACTTCAATCAGTTCGTGAAATTATCATTAGTCCACCGGCGATGGAAAAATACAAATCTTTAAAAGAAAAATTAATTTCTGTTTATTCAGAATCCGAAACAGTTAAAATCAAGCAACTATTGCAAGATTTANTCAACTACGCACTTATCAAGCCCGTTCGTCGGAAACATCAGAGCAACGGGATGCAAGAATAAAAATCAATCAAGAACGCACTTCGCTATTCAGACGCTGCCAATACTCTGATTTGAATCTCAGTGCATTTCACTATGATCCGACAACCAACTATAGTCTTTCACCCAAGCGTCATCATCGGAAAAATGGATCAATTATGTATGTTTTGTAGTGCTCTCAAATTTAAGAATGAAACAGCTGGAATTTGTTGTTCTGTAGGCAAAGTGAAACTACCAGATTTAACGTCGCCAGCAGGTCAAGCAACTTTTCTTGGCGAATATATGTCAGTATATTCGTGTTTCCAAATGACATCATTCGGTACTGCAAGTATCGGTGTGGATATGGGCAGTCAGAGTTATCTACTACATTCACATGCAATCCTGCTTGAGCTTAAATTAAAGAGCTTTCTTAACCTAGGCAGACAGCATCGGATCTTTATGATGCATTACCACACATGAGTTAAAACAAATATTAAGCTCTATACTTGGTTTAATTGCGAAGCGTCATGTTTTTGGAGAGACACGGTGTTTGATGCATTCTATTGAATGGCAAAAAAAGAGAATTGCCACACGATTTGGCTTATTGAAAAAATCACACCATGACAAATTGGTCAGCTCATATCAGCAGAAATACCTGATATCGCCATTGATCCAGACTTTTTTCAGATCATCATCCAAAATATGCTTCATGGTTCGTGTGCATCACCATACATGTCTGTTTGAAAATGCACTAGCGATATCCTAGAGAATTAACTCTTGAGACTATCACTGGTTTTTTCACCATTAAATAAAACTCTCATTTCAAATCATAATCGCAAATCTCATAAACACAATTATATACAAAATTAAAAATTCAAACTGAAAACGTTGCAGCGCATGCAGGGTACAGCTAGTAATAACTAAAATAAGTAATAAATAAGTTATAGTGCAGTTACAAACATTTCATCCTAAAAGGATTAAAAATTATTTTTAAAGATTGTTTTTAAAAAGTATTGTCACTTAATGATGCTTTAGAGCAGCGGTTCTTAACCTATGGGTCGCGACCCAAAATTGGGTCGCGAAGCATATTTCTTGGGTCCCGCTGATACGAACCAAAAAAGTTAGTAATACACCAAATAATAAGTAATACCAACACCTCCTAGAAGAAGTCATTGTGGCTTACGCAGCCTAATTTTGGCTTTTTTTTGGGTCGCGACACGAACATATTTCTCAAATTTGGGTCGCGGCTTAAAAAGGTTAAGAACCACTGCTCTATAGGACTNAGTTACAAACATTTCATCCTAAAAGGATTAAAAATTATTTTAAAAGATTGTTTTTAAAAAGTATTGTCACTTAATGTTGCTTTAGAGGACCTCCCACTATCGATAGGATCCAATTAAAATTTCATGACAAGGTGGATTTTAACTGAGCATACAAGACGATGCGAAAAGAAACCTTGTAATGACTTAGATTTAAGATCACCTTGAGACTAGCTTTATAAAAGGGTTTTTTTTTCACGATAAGACAACCCCAAGTCAACCTCGATTTAAGGTTTTTATATGGAAGGTTGTTTTCCAAGGTTTGAGAAGAGGGTAATGTGCGTAGAGTAGAGCAGATGATCACAGATCTCGTTTTAAGGTTAAAAGGTTTACACGCATTACAAACCTTTTTAGGTTTACGTTCAAAGGTGTTCGCTGAGGGAAAAAAAACCTTCTATCTGGGTTGAAGGCTTTTGTAATGCTCTAAAAAAAATCGAGATCGTCGTATTTAACATTGGCGCACTATGAAATTCATAAAGTTGAGTGCATATATGAATGATTTAAAAAATAAAATAAAAAACGCTTTTTAACAATAACAGAAAACGAGGAATGACTCTCATGGTATTGTGCCTTAAACGAAAACAATTCCTCCTCTTACTTAACTGCACAGAGCGCCACCTGTTGGATTTCTGAAATTATTATTAACATTGAGAAATATTATTAACAGAAATAATGAAATGAAGAGGAAATAACTCTCCTTCACCTCTTGAACCCACGTTGTGAACCCACATTTATGAAAACATTCATTGTTTCTCTTTGTGTGTTCATTGAAATAGCTTTCAACGAGCATATTTAAAAGTTGAATAAGTGGGTGGGAAGCCTAAAGGGTCATTATTTAAATTTATTACTATTAATTAAATTGAACTGTTCCTTATGTTAAGCACTTAAATTAGAGGGGTGAACCATTTTTCTACAGTCACCTTCTGGCAGGAGCCAGGAGGGGGGGTGCTACCTTCACATTTTATAAATAAAGGGGCACAGGCCCTTGTGTCATTAAATTTACAGTTATTCTTGATTGCCATTTTGTGAGGCTAGACAATTTAGAATTTTTTTTCTCGTTTGTTTTGTCGCCGTGTAAGAGAAATACATGTATAGATTTTCTGCATGTTATTAGTGTGAATTTGGATCTTCAGTATTAACCAACATAAAAACGGAAGAAAAAAAAAGACAGTTAAATGTAGAAGATAAATGAAATAATATTTTTTACAACCCACTATAAATGAAATTATGAAAAAGCATCAAGCTCAAATTTCTCATTCAAAGTATAATTAATACCTTTAATAAACGTAGTACATATTATTTCAGATTCAAAATTGTTATCATAAATTATTTTACGCAGTGTTCTTTGTGTGTTCTAAGTGTGCTCTAGAATAATGTTAAGGGGAAACAACCATGCATGACAAGAGCGTGTGAAACTACAAAAAACAAAGAGACAATTATCATTATGAGGAGACATTGTGTGATTCCAATCTTCGCAAATCTCCCTAAGGTTTGGACGTTGTTTCTGAATAGATATTGCGCCACACTTTTTTATTTCCTTTTTCGAAAATTAAGTCCAAATGAATAGAGCATAAAGAATGCTTATTTAGGTAAGCTCTACCAATGATTCTTTCAGAGCTAAATGAAAACTTAATAAACCTGAAAATATCCATTTATGAAATAGGAGCAATCTGTGAAAGATGGTCTCTATATACGGGCAGGAGAGCGACTTCAAGTTTGCACCCCCTAATGTTAATTTTATTTTTTGCGCATTTCTCTATATTTTGAGAACTTCTTAATCTAATTGAACAATTTTAACACACAATTATAAAATCCGTTTGCCCAAATATAATTCCGTGCAAAAAATAAATTTCGGTAAATGTATATTATTTTTTATTTTTTTATTTAGTAATGACGGAAACAATTTGAATTGTAATGTATAAAATTTTGTACATCATTTTTAAAGTGAGTAATTATAAATGGCAAAATAAAAAAATTAGGTTGAAATCGGTAAATTAGTTCCTGAGAAATCAAAATTTAAATATTACGCTTTTTTTTAAAAAATTTGATTTCTGTGGAACTATTTGACCGATTTAGCTCAAATTTCGTAATTTGCCATGTAAAATTGCAAATTTTAATGTGATGCAAAAAAGTTTATGTCTTGCAATTGGGTATAATATAGCCTACGTCACAGGTTGTGTTGTTCCTACTAAATTTAACCCATGAACAATATTAAGCTATAATTTTCCTCAGTGGTAGTAACTAACGAACATGAACAGTGGTAACAACTAATGACATTGCAATACTAAAACATTTGAACATANAACAACTACTAATAACAATAACTAAATAAACAACAACTAAATTCCATTCGTTTAGCATTGCGTCATATGTTGTCCCTACTAAATCGAAGTAGTTGTGTTTTTTTCATATTATACCCAATTAAAATTTCTTTTCGATTATTACTAAATAAAATTATAAAAATTATAAAATACTTACAGTAATTTGATTTTTGCATGGAATTATTTTCAAACAAACGAATTTTATAATTATATGCAAAATTTAAGTTCCCTTTAAATTATATTCTCTTAAAAAGTTGTCGAGATATTTGAAAATACGAAAAAATTAACATTAGGGAGTTGAAGCCTGCCTAAATTACAGGGACCATAATTCCCAGATTGCTGCTACCCCCTATAGTTTGGGGCTCAGAAATTCGAATCCATCGAAAATATGCATATTCAGAGAAAGTACGTTTTTGTGTCTGATTTCGTAACTTAAAATATCACCTGCTATAATTAATTTCATTTTATTTTATAACCGCTATTGAACAACCGACCCAATTTTTTGGTTTAACTAATGTTCATTTCGAGCCAGAAGACAAAGGAACTCCTAGATAAAGTACGTGAAAGGAATTAATTCGCATTGTAGATGGAGAAGAAAACCCCCCGAACACACTCCGCCTACCACTGTCGACCAGCCATCCTAGTTGGCAGTCAAAAGATGCTGAGTACTCTAATTAATTATTGCCGTCGTTGAACCCACTTTACGGCTACTAATGCTCACCTCTGCAACCTTGTCATTTTGATCCAGAAGACAAGGGAACACCTGAATTAGTAGCCCCAGAGGTATTGATTTGTTATGAGAACATGGAGAGCTTTGTGACCCCAACAGATTTAACGTGCACCCATGAATGCAGGGGAATTGTTCTACCCGCGGGATCTCACAAACACGATTCCAACGACCTACCAACCAGGCTATGCTCTAATTAACATATTTGTGGTCTCCCCATCGAACATTCGATCCGTAGTGATCAAAATATATTCGTTTTTGAATTTTGCGCACTTTATAGTTTGTCTATAGAAAGAACTCCCCTCTCTTCAAACGCCATCTGCTACTATAGAGACAGCGCATTTTAAACAAGTCCCTGATTCTCTCTCCCTACCCGAATCAAAACCTGTCTTAAACAGTTAAGTCTCGTAAGCACCTCCACTCCAGACGAAAGTTCCTAAAATTGACAAACTGTACATGCATTGATTCCTAAAAGACTTGATTCTTGACAGGTTGTGTGGGACGATCCCCGACGCATGACCACCTTTTCAACCTTTCATCAATCCAATGGATCTTCTTTTCTAAATTCAAAAGAGGATGTGATAAATCTCTCTAAAGAGAATAAGATTTCGCCTTCCAAGAGAATCAGTCCAAAACTGGGCAAACCCATCTCTCTTCCATTTCGGACAAAGAAGATTGAAAATTCTGATGATTTAAAGGAGGACACAACAAACGGAATAACTGAAAATCAGGTACTCTTTATATGTCATTCCTTTTCTGTAAATCTTTTTCTAATCTTTTGATCTATTTTTAGTTCAAGTATGCATTCTTTAACATCCTAACGTTTATCCCTGTAACTAAGCGTGAGAAAGCCAAATTTCCCTCGACCTATTTCACAGAGCCAATTTATAGTTACCCTTATTCTCCAAAACGAAACATTTTGCGGATTTATGTCGCAAGATTTCCCTAACTAACTTTCGAGCACTCCGAATATTCTTTCTCTCATTAGGATGGGCAAATATATATATATATATANTGTGTGTGTGTGTGTGTGTGTGTGTGTGTGTGTGTGTGTGTGTGTGTGTGTGTGTGTGTGTGTGTGTGTGTGTGTGTGTGTGTGTGTGTGTGTGTGTGTGTGTGTGTGTGTGTGTGTGTGTGTGTGTGTGTGTGTGTGTGTGTGTGTGTGTGTGTGTGTGTGTGTGTGTGTGTGTGTGTGTGTGTGTGTGTGTGTGTGTGTGTGTTAATATGTATATATATGATATATATGAGTATACATGTATATATATGAGGCAAATATATACATGTGTTTGTTTGTTTTTTTTTTAAATTTACAAGTTTAAAATTATTTGGCACCTTCGCGATTGTAGTTGGCGCAACAGATACGGAAATATTCCCAAATGTTAATAAACGTTAAATTACAAAAGAGAGAATATTTAATACTTCCGAGAAAATAGAATGTTACCATGAAGAAGAAATTTGATTCAATCATAATCCAAACGATCGTATTTACCACCACTACACAGCTCAGTAGCCCGATCTTTCTTATTTTTCATCCACTGCGCAATTTATGCTCGTTACATCTGACTACTAAATTGAACCTTCTTTTTTCTAGGAAGTGTTTCAAAATTGCAGTCAATGGTTACCGATTGGTTAAAAAGAAAAAGCGTCACTACATTTCAAGTCATGGATTTTTTTTTTATATTTTTGTAACCGTCGTTGAACAGCCGACCCAATTTCATGGGTTTACGACTATTTACTCCGTAGCCTTGTAATTTTGAACCAATCCAGAAGACAAGGAAACTCCTGGATCAGTACCCCCAGAGGTATTGATTTGTTGTGGGAACATGGAGGACTTTGAGACTCGACAGATTTAACGTGCATCAGTCACCATTTACTACACGGGGAGTCTTCGGCCGGCGAGGATCGAACCCACGACCTCTTGGATATGGGCCCAGCGCCCTACCGACCAGGCTATCCCGGCCTCAAGTCATGGATTGCATCAATTGATGTTTGTCCTCTAGCTCAGTGTTCCCCAACCCCCGGTTTGCGAACCGGTACTGGTCCGTGGATCAAATGGTACCGCCCATTTTATTGAAACTGAATTCCGATGTTTATATCCAAAATTAAAAATATCTGTGTTCCATTAAAATTTTATTTATTTAAAAAAAAGGAGCCCCCGAAGGTAGTGACATAAATTTTTGAATGTTTGTACTGTATCATTGTCTCCGATTACCCCCAGATGGAACCGTCTCATTGCAAAGAAACAAGCTCAGGGTTCTCATTGATTTAACGTTCTAGTAAGTTAAAATATTAAATAATTTTATATTTATTTTTTCGCGTAACTGTATTTTATTTTGAAGGCATGTTTAAATACAATTAAATTACAATTAATAAATAAAAAATCATCTAAGATATAAACAATCAACCAGCTGACAGCGGTAAAATTATCAAACGTTGACAGGTGATAAAAAAGGTTTGGGAACACGCTGACTGGAATGTGTAGGTGTCAGAAAGGCATTACATGGATGTTCCTTACTGTGGCCCACCTAATAAGATGATGACCATGAAAGAGTGATCAACGAATATGCCCTGCAAAATGCCTCAATCGACGAAATATTAACACGGGTGGGCATTGGAAATAAAAAAAATTTTTTATTCTCTTCCCGTTCAGAGATTAAGGGCTGGTCCGATTTGAAAGCCTAGTAATCGTAAGCCTAGTAATAGGGTGCGGAGTAAGTGGGGCCACAAAGAAAGCAAGATAGAAAAATAACTTTTCTTGGCTTTTTCCCGCTCCTTTTTTTCCGCTTGTTTTCAAAAGAGAAGTTAAAATGCGCTTATTTTCCTAAAATAAAATGTTGTATCTGTGACAAAATAACTCCATAGTTTGTCTATGTAAAGAACTCCATTAGCCATTCATCTGGAGTGATGGCGGTTGCTACGAGATTTAATTATTTCAAGTAGGGAAATTCAGTCATTATTTAAAACAGGGTTTGACACTGTTCTTCGAGCGAAAGGGTGGTGAGGGGGAGAAAGAAGTGATATTCTTGTTTCCTTTCAGAAGAAATTTGGGTCCCTTACCGGATCTTTCACAAAATATATTTTCATAAAAACGGATCTTCACAAAATAATTTATCTTTTCCTGGGACCCTTCACAAATTTGTTTATCTTCATTATTGTTTTGCTAATCGAATGAACCCTTCCCGGGGGAACAGAAAGAAGTTTTCCAAGTTTCCCTAAGCTTAAATTCCAAATGTTTCATATTTACAAACATCGTGTGCACATTCTTATTGATATTAAATGATAATTTCTTTGGTAAATAAATAGTTGATCCATTTATATTTATTCATAAAATTAATTAATATAATATTATGTATTAAAACTTAATTTCTGGCAATTTTTTGAACTAAAATATAATAAATTTAAGAACTGCTTAAGTTTACTTAATGCGTAACACATTAAAAGTGATACATTACTGAGTTGTGTTATTTAAAATATGTCCATTGAAATGATTAAAAATCTGAGTGATTTTGTTTCATTATTCGTCCGAAATGAATATTCTGTGTTGAGCAGTATAGGTTAAATACCAAATATATTTGCATGTTGCATCTCTAATTTAGTAGCAGCAATTGTTGAGCAGAATCTTGTATCTATTTACATTTTAAAAACTTGTTGAAAAGGTTTTTAGCAATTTTTGCAATAACAGGACCCTATTTGCACACATTAACAAAAGCTGGACCCTGGTTGAAAGAATGTAACTTAACGCTTTTTTTATATTCACAAATTATAAGTAGTTTCTTCTCAATTTTAGAAAAACTGGACATGTCACAAAATGTCTGGACAGACCCCTGTTAACAGCAGACGGCGTCAGACTTTATGGCGAGGGGAGTTCTTACAGTAGACAAACTATACTGCAACGTAAATGGATCGTGCTCCGGCTGGTGTTAAAATCACGATCTGTGACTGGATGAATATCGTACTATTCTTTGCTCTAGATGGCGCCACTGAATAGCTTTAACCTTGAAAAACCTCTTTAATGGAACATCAGAGCTATAAGCTCACGCAAAGAGCTCGTCGCAGCAGTCTACAATCTCATTCTAAATAAATCGAAATGTTAACTGATTGCTTCGGTAAATCTTCTGGAAGAAGCAGACGATTTTATTGCGATTCGTATCAACCAGCGATGACTGGTTGATACGAACGACTGATACGAACGGTTGATACGACTGGTTGATACGAATGCACCGAGCACTATGCTGACATTAAATATCCTCAGTGGTAGATTGATCATGGGTTAGAGTCCCCTTGCCGTCGGGCTAACCGTAGGAAGTTCTCGTGGCTTTCCTCTCCATGCAACGCAAATGAGGGTTAGTACCATCAAAAAGTCCTCCAAGAACATTCACGAAAGACCATTTGTTTTTAAAGAATATAAATAGGTGGTTTCTGACTTTTTCAGAAGTAAAATAATAAATTAGAACAAGCTGCACAGTGCTTTTAAAATAAAGCATTTATCTAAAATTTTTATTAGTTTTTCAAATTCTAAAAATTCAGTTGCTGGTTATTCTTTGCTTCCTTCTGAAAGTAAGAACAAACTTTCTTTAACCACTTAAGTAATAATTTTATAAATCAGTGATTCACAATCTTTTTTTGTCGTTTTAACGATTTCGAAATTTGGCGGCACACAAAGAAAAAAATTATCTATAAGCACACTGGGTAATAAATAATTAATGTGAAATTAAATATAGAAGCCTCAATACGATTATGAAGGAATTAAAAGTTAAATATTATTTTATTAATTTTTTTATTTCTATTTATTAATTGTTAGCTTGTTTTTTATAGGTATTAATTATAATTTTTTTTTACATTACTTATTATATTTCTGTGATTCCCGGTTAACTTGTTTTTTTTTTTTTTTTTTTTTTTTTTTTTTTTTTTTTTGCTAATAATTAATTGTTAGCTTGTTTGTTCTGTTAATTACCCTTTGTTAATTGATATTTATAACTATTAATCGCATAACTTATTTTAATTGTTAGCTCATTTTTCCTTTTGTAAGTTAATACTTTGTTTGCTTTCTTTTGCTAATTCATGAATCTAATTGCCATTGAATTTCCCACTTATTTTAAGATGGTCAGGGACGCCGAAAAAGATGTGTGTATATACTCTTCTTTAATTTAAACTTTACTGGTAATAAAACAGGCACAAAGCCATGTAGAACATAAGCAAACTAATTATTTCGAATCTAATTATTATTACCTACTAATTATTTCGAATAATCGAAGTTGCCAAGTACACAAAACATAAATATATCACGTGTCACAATAAAGTACATAAACAAATAATTATTTAAAGAACGAATTATATTGCAACACATTCAATGTGCGATAAGGTGTTGTATTTAATTAGCATTCGAGCTCATACGAAAAAATTGTTGCGCCATTTTGTGTTCAGCTGGCTCTGACGTCATAGGTCACGGTATCTTCTCGAAGTACCCAATTGAATATGAAATATCTTGATGGTTTTCTATTGATGAACCAACACAATCTCGATGGTAACCATCAATAATTCCATCATGAACCATCATTATATTCTTTTAGGCAATGTAGGAATTCAGACTGATTTATGATGGTCCAGCATGAAAGATACTCAAATTGTTGAACCAACAACCATCATGGAAATGTCATATAGCATCACGGATCATCATGAAAATCCCTTGATGGGTTATCCATCATAGTATTAAAGCATATCAAAAACCATGTTGGACCATCATGAATCACACTGAAAATAGCCTTCAAAATGTTTTCAATGGGACCATCAAGAATTTTGACTTTTCATGATGAGTATTGATATATTTCTTTTCTTCAGATTTTGGGATTTAAAATATATCCAATTTTAAGTAAAATTGTTAGTTAATTTTTATTTCATTTTATAACTTTATCTGCGAGATTTGTTAAAGCAGACTTTAAAATACATGTTGTAATTTAAAATATTAAAGAAATCTTGCCATTTCAGATTGATTTCTCAGGATTCAAAATTATATGCTTCTATATTTTTGTTACTCATTTTTCCTTGACTGCAATTTTACATTTTCAATTTATATTCAATATTGCACTTACAATGTACATTACAATTTTTCATACAATTCATCATTACAATTTATTCAATATTACGCTATTAAATTTACAATTATATCGAAGAGCAAGAATAAAACATGATTATGCTGTTCGTTGCATCCATAAATTGTCTTAAATATATAAAGCTTAAAATATATCTTTTTTTATTTTTCCCTTTTTTACCCCTACACACACTTCTCCATTCATTTTTTTTTTCTTCCACTAAACAACTATTTTTTTTAATTTTAAATTTCAAATATCACGGCTAATAACTCTATAAGAGCAGTCACGAAATCAAACCGGAAAAATTATAACAGTCTTTGAACAGCATAGTTAGAATTCCAACGGGGAAAAAATATAATTTTTATTTTTTTAAATAATGATGCTCATTTCATTTCGTTATTTGGTTAGAACTCTATTTGAAGGTTGAAAATCCATTTATTTATTTTTTCTTAAAAAATGGGTGAAAAGACAGTGGCTTCAAGAGAACATGACTCAAATAATAATCAGAATTCCAAGGAGTTGTCTTTGAAGGAAAACAATTCTCCCACACCACTTGAATACAAGTCTATCAACTTTTCTCTTCTCACGACCTGCCGCTCTCCCAAACAATGCGGAGGGAACCCCCTTACATTTCTTAAATGATCTTCTAACATTGTCACTCGATATATGTGTCATTAAATTTACAATTAATAGAATTCTCCATTGCCATTTTGCGATCATTTGAACTCGGTTAATAATCTGTGTGTATGTATATATATATATATATATA